AACGGCACAGCCGGTCGGTAACATTGAATATAGATGAATGTTGGGCAGTAATTACTACTTGTCGAACTTGTTGTTCGACAAATACTGCCGAACCGAATTTGCCAGCCCGATTATGTGTGTTGTGGGTTGCAGGGCATACAATGTTATCTACGCGTTATTAACGTGTATCAAACGCTGCTCATCAGGCGCGGTCCGAGAGGGGACATGCCAAAAATGGAAGGACATGCCCTCAAATCGCACACGTCAAATTAAAAAATCTTCTGCCCTTAGCTGCGATGTATTCATTGAAGTTTGCGACGATGATCTCTAACCATATATAAAGACTTTGCTGAGAATTCTGGCAACTTTTATTGTAAGCGATGCGACATCAGAGAGCAAATATTTAATAAGTTTGTGTTGAAGGGCGTGGATTTGGTCGTTGGACGGCTGCAGGCGCGGGAGGTTGTCACTTTGTGCTTGCACAAGTGAATGCCCTTTTGCGGCTGCGGATAGTCAGCGATCTCCAAGCTCTACGTAGCAGTGCAGCAACTACTTTCCAATTACCAAATCCAGCATGTCAATTCACGAAAAATCATTAAAGTTTTTTTTTGATGACGGGGATAAGGGAGTGGTGCAAATCGTAGATTTGGAACCTCCCTCAAAAATTTCAGCCTGGGGCCGCGCCTGCTGCTCATCAGGCGTATGATACACGTTGTTTGACCGTACAACTTTAAATAGTACAGTTACGGCTACGCTTTAAGATTGCCAGAAAACAATTTAGCATGTGTTCATAGCGATATATTTATAGGTAATTACAATAGCGTATGGTAAATGTTGCGTACGAGCAAATGTTTACAATATCATATTCGAGCTTATTGAAGTGCCCTCTTCTGCGGTTACGGTAACATATGTTACTACCAGTTTAATTATTTAGTAGCTTTGGTGTGGACAATTCGATTTGTGCTTGTCTTAGGGGTTCCGTACCCAAAGGGTAAAAATGGGACCCTATTACTAAGACTTCGCTGTCCGTCTGACTGTCTGTCACCAGGCTGTGACTCATGAACCGTGATAGCCAGGCATTTGAAATTTTCACCGATGATGTATTTCTGTTGCCGCCTATAACAATAAATACTAAAAATAGAATAAAATGAATATTTAATTCCCCCTTATCCATAGGACCCAGGATCCATACAACAAACGTGCTTTTTGCCTTTTTTTGCTCTACATTAATAACAACAACAGGTGGACACTTGAAACATTCACAGAATATTATTTAAGAGACGTATGACAGACGCGATTTTTTGCGCGATGCCCATTTTTGGTACGGAACTCTTCGTGCGCGAGTGACGATCAGATCTTCACTTGGTTTATACTTATTCTTACAGAATAATACAAACTTTTCAAAGATATACATTTCATAAAGTAAACTAACGTACCGTCTCGGCTTCTTGCAGGTGCAATTACTAATGAAGACAAGAGGCCATTAAAAACTATTTTTTTTTACAGTAATGAATGAAAAGAAGCAATAATACAAATCTTTACTTTTAACTAACTACATTAAGTCAAATTAATAATTGGTGTGTCGGTGCCATGAAAAGCCAAGCAGTAAACGGTAACTAAAGTGCATTAACGTGCATGGCTCCGATTCTGAATGTTAATTTGACTTTATGTAGTTTAGTGAAAAATAAAGATTTGTATTATTTCTTACTTTTCAGTGGTTTTGTTTCTATGACAAAAACAAAAACCGACTGTTTTTGTTCTTTTAAAAAGTTTTTATTTTCAGTTTTTTATAAGCTAAGTAAACGTAACATCAAACTATGTATAGGTTACCTGGTCTGCATTATCTTTATATATATATATATATATACATCTATTATATCAGTATATGTATTTTATCCGTTACCCTAGCATCCCATAACACAAGCCTTATAGTGCTTACTTTGGGGCTAGGCTAATTAGTGTGAGTTTTGGTATTATTTTATATTTATATAAACCTATTAATATATAATCTTCGTCCATGTAATCGCTTGTAATTAATATTAGTTTAACAAAATATTCCTGAGGAACATAACCCATGTCTTATTATTAAAATCAATATCAAATAACCAAAACAAACAATCAATCACTTCGTATTCAAGACTGAGGAGCTCGATGGCGCAGGTGGATTTAGCACCAGCACTGCGTTCGTGAAAGTTAAGCAACTTTCGCAATGGTCGATCTTCTTTCGCAAATTGGATGAATGATCTAACCTTATTATCTCGAGATCCTTCCTGTTTCAGAAAACACGTTAAGCTGTTGGTTCCGGCTGCATCAGCAGTCATTAGCACCCACCAATCCACACTGGGCTCGCGTGGTGTGTCATACCCCAATCTCTCTATTCCATCCATAAGGAAGGCCTGTGGGGACATTAATAGGCGGGTGATGATTCAAAACTATATAATATGTACAAAACACTGCGTCACGAGATACGTTTATAAATAAGGGCATAGACCAATGGTAACGGGGATAAACTTTTTTCATCAGCAAAGCAATGGTGCATTCAGTACTATGGCTACTAATACAAAATGTTCACTATTATATAGTTAGACAAATTTTCAGGGAAGGTTTATTTAATATGTATAATAGTTTAATGTATCTATTTACAATTCTAAATGGTAGTATTGACTCAAGTGATTTGTTGGAACGTGTACCACTCGTAGCAAGAAGTTCAAATTGCAAATTCCCTTAGTACATACGAATTATCGACAAAAACAGTTATCTTGTACGTTCATGTCACTTATTCAATTCATTAAGTAATAACGCAAACCTGGATATATTTTATGACAGTACTGCGGCGTTCGTTGAGGCGAGCACTGGTTACTGAACTGTTTACAAATTACTAACCCAAAATTTTTGCATCAGTGTGGATTCCCCGAGCGGCGCTTTATGGGTTTCTTTCTGAAAATGATAAGCTATATTTTTTTTATATGTGAAAACTTGTTATTGGCTAGTAGTAGTATAATGCATAAATAATAGCTGTAAGTTTTCCGAAAAAATAAAAAAAAATACAACAAGCCTGAGAACAAAAATATTATATAGACGCGAAGCGAGGGTGGGCCACCAGTATATGTATTTATAACATAAGGCTCAAAGTTAGTATGTCATTAATTAACCATAACGGTTTATTTCTATTACTCGGAAGAACAGGTCGATATTTAGGTGGCGTTTAGCTGTTGCTAACGGCTCAATCAAACGATGTCATAAAGATTTCATTACCGAAATTCTGTAGGCTTTCTTGTACCTAATGGGAATGACGTCACCCTGGAAGTTGTGAAACATCAAAACTCTCTTTTTTAAGAGCTAACATGCAAACAAATTATGTCTCAAAGAATCAATGATACGAACGGGGTCAAGATTGAAACATTAAACAGATTTTCGTTTCTGATCGGTAATAATACGTCTTTCAATCTTGACCCACCTGACTTCCAAATCATGAACCAGATATTATTTTTACTTTTTAGTTCCATTTTCGTTTTTGAAGTCGGTTTAATTTTTTGTATATTTTTTTTATTTTATTATTCCAACTACCAGTACCTACTTTAATTTGGCGACAAGCTTTTATATTATATGAATTGTGTAATGACGTTATCAGTTCATAATAAAAGTTTTAAAGAAATATTTTATTTTATTCTTTTTAGCGCATTTAAATAAAAGCATGTTTCTAAAAAAGCGTGCTAAAAAGTTCTTTTATTTATAATTTATTTTTTAATTTTTAGTTATCGATAGACATTATCGAGAACTTCAAAAACCCCATATTGTCAGCTAGTCTTTTCATTTGATACCCATATTGTAGGATATAATAAAAAATTTAGACTGCTTGTTTTTTAGGTCCGCCATATTGGATTTGAGGTAACGTCACTTTATTTTTCGAGTTATATTCAGCAAGTCCTTTCATTTGATACCCATATTATAGAAAAAGATAAAAAACTTAGTCCGCTATCTTTTTAAGTCAACCATTTTAGACTTAAGGTGACGACACTTTATTTTTCAAGTTATTCTCAGCAAGCCCTTTCATTTGATGACCCATATTGTAGGAGTGCATCAAAAATAACTAGACCGCCATCATGTATGTTCGGCCATATTAGATTTAGAATGACGTCACACAGCTCACCATGCATTGTCAACTAAACGTGTGTATAAAATTTCAGCTCAATCGAATGAAGACATCTGCTTCAAACTGGGTTGAGTTACAAGATTCCATCCGAACAAACATACATACATATAATTACATACATCATACATTGCAAGTTAAATAAAAGTTTTTAATTAAATATGATCAGAAATAACCATTTCGCTGGTGACTCCTTTATTGTCATACCATTTATTTGTATGCTTTACGAGTATCAAGATTTCAAACTCCAAAAAGTTTTTGCTATGTGACATCATATTTTTATTCCATTTAATAGTTATAATATATATTAATATTTAAAATATTTAACATTACAAAAGCTTAAAACTACTTAATGTCTAAAAACTCAAAAACCAGAAATAGCTAACTATACAATTAAAAAAAATATATATATCAGCCCCAGCGCCGCTGTCAGGAATGGTGTCCAATAGGCTGGCAGCATTGCCACGTTGGATAGCAAGGCTAATCCGTTGACCAAGGTAGCTGCCAGCCTTTTGATCACCGGTCGCCTCGGTGAGTCTCTTAGACAATTCCTTAAAGAAGGAACGAGCGCTTGGACCCCATGGTCCCATAGTCTCAACACCAAACGGCGCAAATATAAAGTTCTCATTGAGAGCTAAATATTTGCGACCTTGGAACACTCGGCGTAAAAAATAAAAAAATACTCCATAAAATTGTTTTTTTTTACGATTGTTACAGGAGCCTCCGGAATGTGCAGTCTCATCATAAAAGCACCGCCAGTCGGAAAAGGTTCCTGTGCTACTCGTTATATGCGTGGGGAGTCTCAATCACGCTCACTCTGATCACCTATTTATTGGATAGATTCCCATTGACGCCTGTACTGGATGCCAACATGGGCCATTCAATGTGTTGGTTCGGTTCAAGTAAGTCACTTCATTCTTCTTTGCTGACAGGCATAGTAGCAACATTAGCACTGTGACTTAATTCGCGACATTGCTTATTATTTATGCTTTTTATACTTTGGTTTTTGGAAATTTTGAGTATATAAATAAGGGGTCATACGAACTTCACCAAGTGGTAGTGGCAGGTTGCCGAAAATAAAAAATATTTTGGGGAAATATCGGATCTTATATTTTAACGTAAAGCCATCGCTGCATATTTTAATCTGATTTGATTTGACATTGGTAATAATTGTTAAATTCAGTAATAAAATAATGGTTGTCATTTAATTTTGTCGAGCAAAACTGATAAATTTTATCTATATATCTGAAATTATTCAAGGCCACACTATTATCATTACACAATAGTGTTTCTGGATGTAAAATTGATGTAAACGTTAAAAGCATTTTGTGGTTATTGCTTGTTTGTACTTATAATTTTATCTATGAACATTTATATACTACTTTTTTGATCATATCCCAAATGTATAATCAAATTCCAATCGAATCTTTTCAGAAACCTTTTCGGTTTATAGTGGTATTTGTTTTATTTATAATCAGCGGCCGCCCGCGACTTCGTCTGCGTTAACTTTAAGTTCTTTTTTTCTAAAATTTTTTTTTTTGTAAATTGAAAGTAGCCTAAGTTACTCCTTATCCGTCAAAATCGGTCCAGCCATTTCAGAGATTAGCCGAAACAAACAGACAGAAATTGTAAAAAATAATATTTTGGTGTATGTACCGTATATATATTCATATGCATGTAGTAAAAAGCGGTTATTTCAATATTACAAACAGACACTCAAATTTTATTTATATGTATGTATGTGAAGTATGTATATGTATGTATGTATAGGGTATAGATTTGAGAATGTATATTTTATTTTCCCCACGTTTGTTGTAGCCCAAAATTCAACAGAGGACTGGCCTCACTACATATTCTTTGTGATCCCAATGGGTTTGGTATCCGGCGTGAACTTCGTTTTGTGGGCGCTGACGGCGCGACATTGCGCGCGCGTCAAGTCCGAAGTGCATCGGCTGCAGGCAGGCTCAGTGGGTGATCGCGCTAAACGCCGCTTTCGAGTGAACAAGGCAAAGTAAGCAAGTCAATGTATTTATTTATAACATAAAAGATTTTTAATATTGTTAAAGTCACTATAAAATGTTGTTAGGTAAGCTAATTAGATAATAACTTAAGACAGAAGGGCCTTTAAGTAGAGACTGAATAAATTAACCGAATTGGTATTACTCGTACATGTACTGACAACTTTGTATGGTAGAAGAATTGAGTTGCGAGAATTGTTTTTTTTTACAAGTTATGTTTTTGTTGGCATTTATTATTTCTTGCATGGAAATAGGTCTTACTGTGGCCACTATCATAAGAAAAAATAAAGAAAAAACGACGGGTCGAGTGCCGGCAGAAGTGAAAACTTGAATATTAACGTTGTGCATTTTTGATATTTTGGAATGGATAGGGAATAATTTTGCACGAATTTCTTTAATTATCACCATAAAAGTACTATCATTTATGTGGAAGAATACATTTTAACACGAGTTTAACATTTTTTCCCCATACAAAAAAAGTGTACAAAGCCGCTAAAGAAGTTTTCACTCCAAAAAAAATACTTAAAAAATTGGGGTCTCCATACATGCAATTGGCTTTATATGAACCTTAGTAACCTTGTACAATGAAACGAAACCTTACGGATCGTTTTTAGGGTTCAGGATCACTTTGTTGTTCGTTTGTCTGTCTGTTAGGATACTTAATCACAGGAACGCATGGAGATATTGAGTTCAAAATTTAAACTTTATACTCAGGTCTACGGTTCCTTGAAGCTGTGAAAAAATCTAACCTTTAAGTTAACGTTAAAAAGATACGGCTGTTTAAATTTGAAACATACGTATATTTCAACACTGTAGTGTTTGTTTTTAAACAGAGCGTGACACTGACACACGTAGGACAGCTGTTTTGTCTATGATAGCGAACCGCTTACGTCAGCGTAGCTGTCAAACTTCATTGATTGGGTTGGTAGCCTTGAGGGAAGAGTCGATTTTCCTATTCGACTAAAATATTCGCCTTGAGACTTATAAAAAAAAAAAAAAAAAAAAAAAAAGTAATCAGGCGGGGAATCTCTGTGGGGGCGCGTGGATGAATGGATGGAGTTTGACAGTTGTTGAATTTTGAATAGTCTTTCCCAGATCGATTTGAGTCCTCCTTATCGGGTGCTGTTTTTTAATCGATTTTGAATTTTACTCGAAATTGAATTTCCTCGCTGATTTGGGTAGGTATTCCCTTTTCCTCAGCTTACGGCGAGCGTAGGTATATAGTTTTGAGTTTATTCTTCGGTTCGTCTCGAATGCGGCGGCTGTCTGTTTGACTGTGGCCTTTGCCTTCAGTTGAAGTGGGAAACAAATCATAGACACATGTTTGGGAGAGGACGATCCGTCTATCATCTATGAGCAATTGTCAAAACAACTTTTAAAATTTCACAATCTGTTTGTGGTACAGTTAACTTTTCATCTTTTCTTCTGCCCAAAGTATAATAAACGGCATATTATTGTCGTCGAAGTCGTGAGATAGATCCGAAAAGTTTATATCCCGAAGGATATTGGCGGAAAAAGCGCGGAGTCGCTAACCGAACTGAGTTTCGTGGACGAACACGAACCTTCGCAAGGCGATTGCAATAATAAGGCGGTAACCTGTGATAGGAAACAAAATACTTACGGATAGTTTCATATTTCGAACGGCTTGTACGTTCCCCTCAAGAAATACTGGAGGACTAACAAGGAGACTTTTGTTCTGTGCACGGACCAGAAGGGGCGCGGGAGTTTATTTGCCAGCCGCTCTCCGGTTTTATGTAACCCGGCCGAACAGCAGACAGATTATACACAGCTTAACCTATCATAATCAAGGTATTTCTCTACTAACCCCGGGTGAACGTGAAAAGGAACCACAGGCGAGGTTGGACCCCGACTTGCCCATTTCCATATATTTACATATACCTATATAACTGGTTATCTCACTGAGAACTAGAATTAACTAAGTTTGTCACCAATATCGATCAAACGAGCCGTAGAACCTCTGAAATCCACTAAATAGCTTATTCAGTATAGTCTATGTGGTATTTGTGGATAGAAAATATTAGCAAGTATTATATTGTAAGTACATGGTAAAGTGTTATGAATGTCTGATATTCTTATAATTATAACCTTTCATGACAACTTGTTGGTTTATATACACATTAACTTTGAACTACTGTATTCAGCCTAGATATTTATAATTAGTGAGTGAAACATAGTTATTATATAAATAATAAACATAGTTAGACTTGTTGATTTATATAAACAATAACTTAAAACTACTGAATTCCTATGCTTTGGTATCTAAAGTGGATAAAATATACTTATAACATTATCTTAATTTTTTTGGTTTTCTTTTATTGTTCCCCCGGTGCTCTGAGTGAGCGAAAAGAGGGCAGTGGAGGGGAATTTAACATCACATGTGGCGCCCGAACAAGTGGAAACAAGGCTTTGTAGCATTTACTTTGCTCTTTTTTTTGGTCATTAATTGCTCAAAAAAAGGTTGATCGATATTGGTGATTTTTCTTTTTTTTTTAAATTTTCTTTTTTCTCTGAATTATTTGGCTTATATCCAAAGATTTGTTTATCTGGTTATACTGTGTTGTAAACATAATAATTTGTAACATCGGATGATCGATATTGGCTCAAAATTTACAATCAAAAAAGTCATATTTACTTTTTTATACCCTTATTTAAAGGAAAAAAAAAAAAACCCTCTTGTGTACTGATTTTTGGTAGGTTAGTTCACCAACCTCACTTTTTTGAACCTAACAAGAAGAAACCTAACATTGAGAAACCTAATCCTTTAGAACCTAACAATTTTCAACCCTCAGGTGTGAAACCACACTTGTTACAACACTACTATTTTAACTGATATATCTTAACAGGTAGGTGATTTTATTATCATATTAATTACACTTTGTTATTGAACATTTCTTTATTTTGCCACACTAGGAGTAATTTTAACTTACAAAATGGAACAGAGGCCAATCACTTTTAACTTGTTACACAAAGATGAGTTGGAATATGAAGTCAGAATTAGGGGTGCGAAGCCTGTGGACGGGGTGCCTGCTTTAAAGGCACAAGTACGTGCTTTAAATAAAGATTTACCTTCTGATGAAATATTAACTTGTGAAGTAGAGATAGAATCAGAGTTGGATATTATTAGGGAGAAATTAGACAGTTTAGATGATCTTACTTCTCAAACTTCTTCTAGAGCTAGTTCCCTTAAAGCACTGAACAGAATACAATCATTAGCACATCACTTGTTTCATAGACTTAGTCGCTTAGATTCTGATAATGATGACAGCATCGCCTCTCAATTGGAAGCGCTGCAAGAACGTCTGGACAAGTTTCTGGTTAAGTTAGATAACATTATGCACCATTTTAAGAGTAGTTTAACTCAGGTGCCTCCGGAAGAGAATAGCAGAGTCCATGCTGCTTCTGAACGCACTGGGAATGCTTCCCCTGACTCTGGTGGTGCCGTACATAAACTAAACATACGGTTTAATGGGAAAACCTGTGTAAAGGCATTCTTGCAGCGTTTAGAGGAGTTATGTTTGTCTCGTGGTGTAACAGATGGTAAATTGTTCAATTCTGCAGCTGAATTGTTTACAGATGAGGCTCTTTGTTGGTATCGTGGGGTGCAATCCGAAGTACATAGCTGGTTAGGGTTGAAAACCTTGCTTCTTGATGAATATTTACCATCAGATTATGATCATCGTTTATTACAAGAGATCCGGTCTCGCACTCAGGGTTCCGATGAAAGCATAGTGAATTATCTTAGCATTATGCAGAACTATTTTACTCGGTTGTCAAAGTCGCTCTCAGAGGAAGAGAAATTGAATATTGTTCTTTTTAATATTAGACCTTTTTACACTACACAATTAGCTTTGAGTCCCATAGAGTCCTGGACAGATTTGAAACGCAAATGTAGACTTCTGGAAGGTGCCAAGGAGCGTTCCCAACATTTTAGTGAACCACCTAAAATAACCCAGGCTTGCTTAGCTCCAGATCTGAGTTATAAGAATAGCAATAATAGACAACTGCCTAAGGTCTCAGCCGTGCAACTGGTGGGAAATGATAAGTTCTGTGTGCGTTGCCGTGTTGAAGGGCATACGCTGGGAACATGCCGGGAAGCTCATGTTTTGGTTTGTTATCGTTGCGGCCGGAAAGGGGAGACGGCAAGATCGTGTCCCGAGTGCTCCCAGGGGAAAGCTAAGAATACTTCTCTGCCAAAAAACGGGAAGGTGTGAATCGGCGCTGTTATACATTTTTGTCTAAACACGAATGGGATTCGTGGTTGGAAGTAATTCGACGGTTTTTCGATAGTAATAAACAAAACATTATTAAAAAGTGTCAAAATGAATGTCAACATCTGACAGCGCCGATTCACAGCACAAGAGGGGATGCCCGTCCATTTTTAAAAATTACTATTTATGAATTAAAATATATAGGCTTGCTAGACTCTGGTTCTGAAATATCTATTGTAGGTAACAATGCAATAAAACATTTTTCTGGCCTTGGTACTGTACATAAGTCATGGGACTTAACACACATTACTACTGCAAACGGTTCGTCGTCTCCAGTGACGGGCTACATATTTTTGCCAGTCACTGTCGGAGGAAGAACCGCCACTATTAAATTCTACTTAGTACCTGGGGTCGCCACTGAGCTACTTTTTGGGATGAATTTCTGGAAAGAATTTAAGATAGCACCCGACGTTCTATCCTTATTGGAGGGTGGTGAGTATTTGCCGGGGGGTAATCATATTGGTTCGATCACGTGTAACGATAGATTTTTACAAGATTTTGAGTCGCTCTCTGAGTCCGAGCGTAGGCAGGCTCAGGAAGTAATACGATTGTTTGAGGATATATCAGCGGAGAAGAGAGGATTAGGTAGGACTCACTTGGTCACGCACAAAATAGACACGGGCGATCATCCACCGATCAAGCAGCGTTACTATATCATGTCTCCGGAAAAGTTGGCCGAAATGAACAAGCAACTAGACCAAATG